TTCTTTTGTGATCTTGGTATTTTTCTAATCAATGTATTGGAGTGATTTTGCTTTGTTAATCATTTTTGTAATACTGAGGATTTAACCCAGTGGTACTCTACCATCTAAGCTACATTCCCAGCCCTCTTTTATTTGTGTTTTGAGACAAGTTCTCCCTAAGTTTCCCACGCTAAACTTAAACCGAAGACTCTCCTTCCAAGCCTCTCCTTCCAAGTAGTGGAGTTCTTTTAAGTATTAGGGGAATTAGCCCTTTGTTATTAGAGTTACAGATAACTTTCCCAGTTGTTGGTCATTTGATTATTGCTCTATGCAAATGTTCAGGTTTTTGTTTTGGTTTGAGACAGTTCTCAGTAAGTTGCTAAGCCTGACCTCAAACTCACAATCCTTCTGCCTCAGCCTCTTGAGTAGCTGAGTGCATTTGAATATATTTGCCCAGTTGTATATATTTCTGTAGTGAATTTTATCAGTCTTTGCTTTTATGGCTCTGAGGCTGCTTGGAAAGCAGCAGGATGTGCCTCCCCCTCAACACACAYACACCTTTTCTTGTCAATACAATAAGCTTGGAATGACTTGCTGAGTTCTTCAAGGAACAAGACAACTGCTGCTCTCCAAGAGATAACCAATTTTAGGGTTCAAAAGCTACACTAACAATTACAATTCTGTTATAATAAAWATCAAAGGCACAAGAAGAACCTGGTCAAGGATCACCTAACCTGAGTTGGCCAGTGAAGGCGTCCAAAGGTGGCAGGCACCCAGGTTCCTCTAGAGKCACATGTAGGAGTCAGCCAGGTGAGGAATGTCTTTCCAATAAAAGCAGCAGCACGTTCAAAGGCAAGAGGAAAGAATCAACATGGCCTGTTCAAGGTTGTCCAGTGTGACAAGAGGACAGGGAACCCTGGAGTGTTGGCATGTGGTCAGGGGTGGGGCTAGAAGGGTAGGTAGGGGCCAGATCATGGAAAGCCAGGTATATTTTGCCAAGAGTCAGGCCTTAACTGGAGGCAGCAGGGAAGTAGCTGTGGGACCTGACCAGCATGTTGAAAAAACTCTAGACACAGCCTGTGTGGAGACTGGCCCTGGCCTGCAGCAACCACAACAGCCTTGAAAGGATCCAGGCTGCCAAACAGGAGTACAAACTTCAGACCCAAATGTTTTATTCTGTCAAACTTCCAGAATTCCAGAAAAATCATCAGGGAAGTTAGCATCTTTTCCAGGAACATTTCTACTCAAGATGATAACTCTGAGTGTGGATCCTTAGAGGGAAAACTGGGATTGTCACTCACTTCAGCACCCTTCTAGCAGATGGGGCCAGGTCAATGTATTGCCCTCTCAGCTGCAGTCTGTTAAAGGAAACAACTGGGCTCTTCAGTCCCAGCCCATGGCCACTAACCTAGACCTCCATTTAAAAGGGCAGTCAGACTGTGCAGTAGCACATGCCTGTAATCACAGCAACTCAGGAGGCTGAGAGCAAGAGGATCACAAGTTCCAGACCAGTTTTGGCAACTCAGAGACGCTATCTCAAAATAAAATCAAAAGGATTGGGGTGTGGCTCAGTGGTACAATACTCACCAGTACAGATCCTTGCATATGATAAGCACTGAGAAAATGGCAGCAGTTTATAAACCCCATTTATAGTGGGGTTGCTGAGGGGGAGGAAAGGTAACATGGACATGACAAGGGAAGTTAAAACAATATAAATGAAACTTTGGGACTGTCTCTGGATTCCAATTAACCAGGTTCTCACCATGCCCCGACTYTCCAACTACCCACCTTTTTTTCCACCYCCCTCCTTTTTTWAAAAAATATTTTTTACTTGTAGTTGGACACAATATCTTTATTTTGCTTATTTTTATGTGGTGCTGAGGATCGAACCCAGGGCCTTACATGTGCTAGGTAAGCGCTCTAC